ATTTAAAATTGATGTTCTAGTCTTACACGGTGTTTGGAAAGAACGTCATTGCATTCACAAGTTCACGTTCATATTTAGTGAACGACACACGAGCGTCACTTATTTTTCAAATTGAACGTAAACGCGAACGATGTTTATATTTTAATGAATTTGAAAGATTTTTTAGAAGCTCAATTTATTTACCATTTAATAAATATATGTTTTGAATATAGGTATTTATTAATTGCATTATTATAATATTTTCTTATTTTAATTCATATAATAAACAAATTTAAAAAAATTAAATTAACGACCCAGTGAATACGCATTCATTTTTTCAATGAACATGAACGTGAAAGCTTTCACTTGAAAAAAACACGAACTTGAACGTGAACGAGTTTGTTTTTTAAGGACTGAATGTGAACGTGAACGAATTCATTGTTTAGTGAACGTTCCGAACACTGGTTTACACAGCTATGCAACTTGTAATAATTTTTCCTAACACATTAAACAATTATATCTTAATTTTATTTTATTTCACAAATACATTGTAGTACAATTTTTTTTTTATATTCTATCATTATTATTGGTATTATCATTACTAATAAATTCTGAGCGGAGTGTTAAATATATTATTGATTTTAAAATTATGTGTTTTATTTTTGTTTGTCGTCACCTTTTGGGGCAGTAAAAATGCTTCGATTTTCTATTTCAGCATATTTTCAGACAGAAAAGTGAATCGACTCTAAATGGTCAATTTCTAGAAATAATCAAAAGCTTCAGGAAAAACAAACAAAAAATTAAGGGCAAACTGAGATTGATGCGAAAAAAACAGTATTTGAAAAATTGATTTAGTTTTTTAGTGTAAGACCGTGCTCCAGAGGATATTTTCTGCTCCATGATAATGATATCGAATGTTTACTTTCCACTGATATGGGTAGGTAAGCCATTTTTCTTCGTTCCGACGTTCCGTCCGTCTGGCGGTGCGTTATATAATTGTTTGCTGTAATTGTTTATACTATACAACAACTTACTGTGAACTGTATTTCAAGCAAAATAAGTTGTGAATAAAAATTGAAGTTGTAAAAATCAAATTAACATTTAGGTATAAACATTTTTTTGAACAGCCAATAAATTCTAAGCAACAAAACAGGTAAACTTATGTAATTATACTCGTTTTCACTTATGCAATAATACCTTATATTTATTAGCTTCTTGAACGTAACTTTTATCTGAAATTGAAAATCATTATAAATAGGTAAAAATGACTACCAATTCACGGAAACCCAGTCTGTTTGCTTTAAAAATGCAAAAACGAATAGATCAACAAACCAATTTGTCTCTTGAACGCGAAAGTGACAAAAATTCTTTCGGAGATGCTAGCGCTATACTGAGTGGTCCTGAAGCAAGTGATATACACAAAGAAAACGTTCAAAAACTTACTAGTATGAGTGACGAGGAGTTATTAAATGCAAAAAATGAATTGATAAATAGTATGGATGGAAAATTAATTGAATTTTTAAAATCTAAACGAAACAATGACAGCGCCCCCGGAAAGTATAATCTCAAACAAAAGGACAGTGATAGAGTAAAATTGCTCAATACACAAAATAAGATAAAAGAAGATAAAATAAAAAATTTGTCTTATATGAAAGATCTAGTTAACAACGGTCTAAACATGGATGTTATTGAAGAAGATAAACTTGGATGGACTGGTGATTTGAATGTTGAAAATCAAAACAAAGCTATTGATGTTTATGCTGCTCGTTTTGGTCTTGATGGAAAACTGTTACCCTACATAATAGAAAATAAAACAACCGTTGACGGTTTACATCATCACGGCGAAGAACAACATCGCCCTGGATATACTATCGATGAACTCTATTCTTTTCTTCGTAAAAATCATGCTCCTCAAAGAATATTAGCCCTAGATGTGTTGTCAAAACTAATCAATAATGCTTGTTCCTATGATTCAGTTTTAGACAAACCTCTTTTATGTTCCTTGACGGAATCTGGTATGTTTGTACTGTTGAGAATGGCATTAGATGACACTAACATTGCGATTATTACAAATGCATTAAAAGCTATTGGAAATTTATTTTCCAGAAAAACTGACCGTACAATGTTGTCTGGTTTATCTGGATGTAATTGTGACATTGCTTTACCCGTTTACATAGTTCCAGATGCAGAAATCAACCAAAATGAATTGGATAAATCCTCTGATTTTGATTTAATTGTGTTAGATCTTGTACACGGGGCGCTGAGAACTGACTTAATTTTAAGATTACAATATATTGTTTTCAATATGAATATAGGATCTAGCTGTCTTTTAGACATAACAGAAATTTTAACTGGCATTGCTTCTCGAGGAGAAAAATATGCATTTTTAGTTGTTGAGACAAATTTGTACAAGCATTTGTATAGTTTAGTTTTCACAAACTTACATTCTGATGATCTATCAGAAACCTTTGTATTCCTCACTCGTGTAATCAGTAGTCAGTCAGTTAAATGTGCTTTAAAATTATTGGAAATGAAAATCCTAGATTCTATATTTAAGTATATAAATAATCCGACAAAGACTCCGTTGCTGCTAGAATGTCTATACTTGTGGCAGACATTTTTTGAATATAAATTGGCTGGTCAAACAATTACCGAAGTAGCCAATCTTGTATTAAAATTTGTTGATCGCTCAGTTGGTCTTAGTGCAGATTTAACAAAAACTGATTTGTCTTTAATGTCAGCAAGTTTAAGTCTAATTGATTCAGCCTTGAGAAATTTTGGTAAAATCTATATCGATCCAGTGTATCAGCTTACAGAAATAATTTTAGCCAGACTATTAAGTAGCTCTGATTTACCTGATTTTGAAACTTCAAAACTCATTGGTAACTGCTTCTCTGTTCTCAGTTCTAAGAATTTAAAATTTGACTCTGTATCCTCAAAAGCAGTTGAATATTTAAATAAACATTTTGGAAAAATTTGTGAAATATTGTATGAAAAATCATGGTTAATGAGCAACTATGTAAACAATAGTCCTAAATGCTATCCCAGTCTTGGATTTATAAATATATCATTAAATGGAGGAGAGCCCTTGTTTATGTTGATTGGACTTATGAAATTCTTATGCAATAATCCCAGACATTTTAATATCCCTAAACAGTTTTGGACATATTTAAATAAACTAATGAAATCATCTATAGATGTATCACATTGGTATTGCAGGTATGAAATAATTTTTTTAATAAATATATTAAAAACTTTGACAAACGTGCAATTTGAAATAGAGCCAACCCATAAAATTGCCATAGCACTTATGTCATTTATACCTAAACATATGGCTGAAGAATTGTATTATACTTTGAAATTGTATTTTAACAGTAATTTTGTAGATAGTATCAAGTATGAAAGCAATTTTGAAATTTTAAAATCATTCTATGAATTACTTGTACCCAATAACAAAAGCACCTGTGCAAGTATATTAATTACTGAACTGGAACCTATTTTACCAAAAGATTGGTTGTTTTTACCAATTTTGAAGATTCATGAGACTCCATTTTTTAAAAGCTCAAAAGAAGGCGAATCACTTCTAAAAGAATCTTTAGCTAATGTATTGTTTATGGAAACACATTATCCAGAAGTGTGTGAACAAACTCCATTGGCTGCACGTTATTGCCGTGTAGCTTGTACATTCATGTGTGGTCGTCGTGGTACAATTTTTCATGAAGTAAAATCAATGTTGAATCAAATTTGGCATGTATATGCAGCCCAGAACGACAATTTGAATTTTAAAGATCCAATCCAAGGAGTTGAATCTTTCTATGACTTTTACAAAACACTATGTGAACATTATGTAAGTGTATCATATTCTGACACAGTTTTTGGGGCATATGTATTGCTTCCTTTACAAAGAAAACACAGTGTTGAGCTAAGAAAACTAGTTTGGTCAGAAATTGAGTTGCCGCAGACTATTAACATTGATGAAGAACATCTAGATCGAATACCACTACATAATTATACTCAGCCTGTTGAGACAAATAAAGAACTTCTAAAAATGTACACTAGAGTTATGAGTTTAAGACGAAAATTTATTATGTACCATATTGCCATAGCACATTTAAACCAAATTTAGTTGTTTACAAAAATTTGTATTTTCATTGTTATTTACTTACTGTATTGTTTTATTTCAAAGATCATCATGGGTGACCGATACAATATTCACAGTCAATTGGAGCACCTTCAGTCAAAGTACATTGGTACAGGCCATGCAGACACCACAAAGTTTGAATGGCAAGTAAATCAACACCGTGATTCATGTGCTTCATACCTTGGTCATTATGATTTATTGAATTGGTTTGGAATTGCTGAGAACGAAGCTAAAGCAAGAGTACGATTCAATTTAATGGAAAAAATGTTGCAGCCTTGTGGGCCTCCGCCAGAGAAACCTGATGAATAATCTTATGAACTATTAATATTTTATTGTTGAACTAAGTTCAAAATCTAAAACAATATATTATGCATCAAGAATATTTTTTTTTCTATTTATTCTTTAATTAATATTAATTATATACAATTTAAGAAATACATTTTGAATTGTTGAACACCCGTAATATTCGTATCAGTACCTTATTCACCTTAATTTAAACAAAAAAATAATTTATAGCTATTACTTATTAGTATCATTAAGAATTATGTTCTGTAGTATGTTAATATAACAATTAACGATGAGTGTTATGAGTAAGAGAGGTAATTGCAGGATTTTGTTTCTGGTGTAGCATACTTTTTAACCAGCCTGACAGCAAGAAGCAGACCATTTATTAGTTATTTTCTTGATTATCTCATAGCAGCATATATAATACCTAACCTTTATTTAATTTGTGATATAGGTAAGATGTCTGCAAAATAAAATATAATGTACTCATATATAAATATTAACATTACATACAAAAGGGTTTTGGGAATCTAATGCAATCTGTGGCATTGTATTGTGCCTTGATCGAACTGTTACTGCTTGTTAATATAATGTACATGGTTTAGTCTGTATGTGAAAGCTTGTGTTAATAATTGTATATTGTTACTAAGTTGCTAGGTGCAGCAAAAGCAACACAAATAATAAATAATAACAAATTAATCTAAATAGGCGATTGCAGTCATTTATAAATTGGTATGTACTGGCTTTATAACAATATGTAAGGATATAAAAACACCAAAATACATTGAATCAAACATAGGTACAATTTTAAAGTGGCTGGAGCAGGTACAAATAATCTCGTAAAACAGGCCAAAAGCTAGATAAAACTGTGGGAATTAAGTTTGACGGATTTTAATTTTGAAAATTAACTCTAAATCTTCAACAACTCTACTAAAGCATGACCTTTGAAATATATCATTATAAAATTTAACAGCGTACTTAAATATATAAATTACCAAAATTCTTATTTTTTAAATTGTTCATATTTTATTGAAGAATTCGAATAAATAAAATTCCCTCAGCCATTCTCCAATGAACACAATGATTAATTAATATCTATTTTCAAAATTACGATTTGTCGAATCCAATTCTTTCAATTTTGTCTAGCTTTATGGCATTTTGTCATTTGTATATCATGACGTTTATTTGATAAAATCTGTATCATTGACATGTGCCTGTGTGTGGAGAAATTTATTTGTGGCGGTGAGCCATTGGTGCCCGGTACTTGATAACAAATTTTACCAATTACACACACTAACATTAATTTGCTTAGACAGTAACACAGATCAAATATAATTGCTATATGCAATTCCTTAAGATAACTCCTTATAACACATCACACTCAAACCCCCTTAATTCAATTAGAGGGATAGCTTTTGAGTATTAATTACAATGGAGGAAAAAAATGATGAATTATACTTATTAAATATATTGAAAAAGAAGACATCATTAACAAATTTAAATCACTATGGTAAATTTGATAACTTGATTTTTAGTATGATAACAAATCCTGAATAAAATCTGACATGTTATTATAAGAGGTTTTTAATTAAAATTTGATCAAATTTAAATCAATAATAATTAAAATAAACACAAATGTATGCAATTAGGGATTTAATACAATCTTTAAAAAAATATTTTATACTCTTATTATTAAATTAATAAACTTGGCTCGACTTTTTAATTTATTCTTTAGTTTCATTTTCAAAATGTTCAATAACATCTTTTCTAGCTGCAGAGATCACCATTTTGTATAGTTTACAATTTTGATTAATCAATGTTTGTACGTATTCTGGAAACATGTTTACATCCATTGAACCATTCTGAGCAAATTCTGTAATTTGTTGCAAATTCTTCATATAAGCTAGCATGACGGTGCCCTTGTTTTCTCCATTGTCTATCCTAGATGAGCACAATGTTTCCTCATCATATGTTGGATCTACTAAAATTTTGTTATTGTAAATACCCTAAAAAGAAAAGAGAACATTTTTAATAATAAAAACATAGACAAGACTAGATATTTATTGCATTGATAGAATCCTTGATTGTATTGACTAATAGACATTGTATTAAGTTTAATATATTATATACCCCTCCTAACAATTTTTTTAATATGTGGGCCACAGTAAAATGTCTTATAATAAGTCGTAAATCATTAAAAACTTGTAGTATAACCAGATAAATGAATGAATAATAGCATTTATAATTAATGGTAATAGGTAAAAGTCATTAAAATTTGAATCATTCAAATATAACAGTAAGTACAAAGTATAGAGTATTAACTTCTAGTTAAAAATTTAAATAATTATTGAAAAATTGTTTTAATATTTTAATAATACCATTACCGTATGTGTTTTGCAAAAAATAGTTCAACATAACATTTTAATATTTATATACTCTGTTCTAAATAAGATTATAACCCAGCAACGACCAGTTTTCGTCAACTTGCGGTCAGAAATATTGTTAGACACCAAGTCCAGTGCTTTGGAACAAAGCCACACCCATGCAAACAACTTGGTCGCTGGGTAATGATCTTATTTTGAACAGAGCATAGATAAATAAATTACTAATTGTAATATAAATAAATTATAGGCAATATATCTTTAGAATACAAATAGAGAGCTGAGCGTTAAACATACTATTTTTACACGGAGTCATATCTTTTGAATGATTTATAATTGAACTCAAATTTAACACATCCATCAATCTGACCAGTCTCAATGAAGATGTACACTAGACCTACTATATACCTGTGACTTTTCTCAATTTTGAATTATTTTAGTTAAGTTTATTTTCAAACATATGACCTTCAAATATGAATATTTTTATTCTGACATACTAATTATTTCCTAAAGAAGTACAATATTGATTACACACATAAGTAATCACTGCATGTTCATTAACAACTGTAAAAAATATAACAAACCAATGAAGTAGCAACGATCACATCATACATAGGTATACATCCATCCATTAGTGCAAGTCCTGCAGCTGTGATTGCAGCAGCCAACACAGATCCATCATTTTCTAATACCAGAACGTTAATATGAATTTCAAAATTTGCAAATTCACCCTATAAAATAATAAACTTATGATATGCTATCTTTAATCTGTGCATACAATGCAGATTCTGTTGAATTTTATTATTAATTCAAACCAAAATCAAATATTATGAAATAAATAAATATTTCATTATTTAATGACAAAAGTAATGATAACATTATAAGAAAAATCAAATGGTAATATTTCTAAGCTCATGTTAAGTAACTGAGTATCAATTTAATGGTATTCAAAATCATCATAAATTTAATTAGTTGAAAAACTCACTCTACAAATAGCAGGTTCTAAAGCTCTGCGTAGTTCATTACACAATTGCCGTTCTTCAGAATCTCTTGTATAAGTGCGCCGCTGTCTACATGAAAATGTAGCAAATTTAAATTCACACTGGAGTACTCCAGTTTTAGCATATTCTACTTTATTCGGAACTTCTTTAGGGTCAAATACAGAACATATTAATTTTGTACTACCACATTCTAAATAAGCTGAACCTTTGGCTTGTGTAACAATACCAGTTTTGATACCTTGATAATAAGAAAATGCAATAAGCAAAACATTCAATATAAATCAGGAACTTAAATCTTACATAAATTTCTGTGGGTTGAAATATCTCTGCCATCACATCGAGTATCCTTCATTAATCCCGTGGCAATTTCTTCAAGTTTAGTATTGTTTCTATCGATTAAATATTGCTGATAAGGTATGGACCCTTCGGGCCCAAGAACTCGATATACATTTGTAGGCATTTTTATAGTACCGATCGGAGTTAATTCAAGAGTACCTATTCAAATTTAAAATTGAAAACAAAATATTCTTCAAAATTGAATTTTTATTATCTGTAATCCAACCGCATGGGTAAGTAAGTTGTTATTTGTTTGAATTTCTTATCATTGTTGTTTGTATATTATTGATAATGTAATCAGAGAATAGATTATAGATGAAATATTATCATGATTTAAGATAGTACTATCTTAAATCGTGAATATTATTAATCATTTTTGCTCCTTGAGGCATAGAGCAAGATGGATATAATATATCCACCTTGGCAAAGACTATAGAGCTTATACAGTAGAGCATCGATATTCCGGACGAATGCAGACCGAGCATCGTCCAGATTATCGATTTTCCGAATTACCGGAGGTTTTTCAAAATTACCTACTCAAATGACTAAGATTTAACTTTAATTTCGCCATCTTTATATTTATTGCATTTTAAATTACAAGAATAATAATCAAATTAAATTAAAACTAAACTAATGAATTACAAAAAAAAAATGTTTTTAATAATATGTATGTAGAACTGAAGTATAGTAATCGGTAATTTTTTTCTGAACAATACTTTTAATTTTCATTTCAAAAGCGAGTTCTCTTAATCGACGCACCAACAAAATATCAGTGTTATCCATGTTCTCATGTTCTGCCCATTGCAATACAGTATTCAGTGCATTCACAGCTTCTGAAGTAGAAACTTTAGGTACTTGTACTCACTTGGCTGCAGCCCCCCCCCCCGAAATGTTAATAAAATTTAAAAATTATTTTAATGGTCCATGGTATTCGATCAAAAACTTAACCACCGCTGTGTAAAAAATTGATCAGCCCCCCCCCCCCGGGAAAAAACTACGCCACTGCTTGTACTGATTGAGCTACTTTCATCCTCGTCAATATCATCCTCTTTTGCTGCAATTTGTATAATTTGATCATCAGTTAAGATTTCGTGATTCGCTAAATCTTCGTCTGCGCCACGGCAAGCCCATTTCTGTGCTTGAGAATCAGACATTTTATTCGAAACAAATGGAATTTTGCCGTCCGGATAACCGCGTTCACCTGATTATCGGGGGTCCGGACTATCGAGGCTCTACTGTACTTATAATTAAAGACAGGATTTATATGCATTTTAAATTTTTAAATATGCATGATGCAAATAACATGCACTAAAAAATCAAAATATGCAAAAAAAAGATGCCAAACATGCAAAATAAAATTTCAATTTTTATTACATTTTATATTTAATCAATTTTGCAGTGATAATTATTTACTAGATTTATTAAAGTTTTAAAAATAAACAAAAAGTAAGATGTATAATAACAAATATATGATACATTGACACAATAATGTAATTAAATTTTTTATCATTGATACATTGCAAAAAATATTTTATTAAAATTAAATAGTAGATACATCGGTGATATACTAATATAAATAATAAAAAAGTATGAACAATTTAATATAGTACCTATGTTAATTGGAAAAACAATAACCTAACCTATTTTGAGAGTCCGAATATTCTTTTTCTATATCGACACCTGAGGCTGGGTATTTTTTAGATACTTAGGTAAAAAGAGCCAACAACTCACTTTTTTGGAAAATCAGGAATGTATTTATCAATTTAACCATAAAAATCGTCGATGACTGGTGCTATGATACCTATGTTTTGTGTGTTCATTTTATTTGTTATTTTTTCAATAAGGGCCTTGTAAAAAAAAGCCACACGTGAAACAGAAGAGTGCGCACGCCTATAGCCTTATAGCCTATAACTGATGTGAGCTCGGTAAATGTATATCAGGTTAATTCCAACAATTTAAATTAGAAATGAACTGATTACATTTCATTTTCTCTCGTGTAGCAGAATACCAAAATTTTATATTCAGATGTGTCTCAAATAAAATTATGTTTTTTTAAATTTAGCTTAGGTTACATATGCACTTAAATATACATAACTATTAGTGGGGCAAATTACATGTGATTAGGTATTTAAATTGGTGCAAATTATCGTCTTCCTATTTCTCGTATATACATCAACTAGTGCAGCAGCTCCCTCTTCCCCTTCCCACACACGCACAAATGTTGAGAACAACATTGATTAATATTATGATCATGATTAATACTTACCTATTGATAATTTGACTACCGTGAACACCTACCATATCTGGACGGCTGCACTTACACGGTTTGTAGTTAATACCCTAGGTTTAAATATTTTATGTTTGTTCATTATACACGCTTTGAATACCGATATTCAGTGTCATAAAGTTGCATCAATTTCTGGTGATGCAGAGACATATTTTAATTTTGAACCCACCAATACTTCAACTTCCTTTAGAATTTCACGCCGGAAAATTGTTTACCTAGTTGTAATCATAATGATTAGTATAAAAAGACAACCTTTGTTCGACAATTATAGTTATGTAGATACTTGTTCAATAATCAAATATAGAATTTTGAAAATAGAATCTATGTATTTATACAAACATTACAAACTGTTATGATATTCCGGTGGTACAAAAATATAAACTTGCACCACTCAATTGACCACCACTGTCGATATTGGTGTAGGTAATCACCACGTTTGACATTTAGGCTTTGAGGTACAATTTTGGCACTCATTTTTTTTTTAATAATTTACGGAACAGGTACTCACCATTATTGGTACTCAATCTAATGACTAAATTAAACGAAGTCACAAGATATACCCTCCAAAAAAAAACCTAGTGCGTGGATGTCCATCCAAAAATACTATGGGGTATGTATACGTAACGAAACCAGTGAATACCTTTACCGGTGTTCATGGCGTTTCATGGCAGTTCCATTAAATACTGCGCAGTCCACTTGTACAATTATTGTTCTTCGAATTAATTATTATTTATTTTAAGCCATTATTCAAATTTGTAAAATAAATAACCATTCCGGTTTCGGGTGAACCGGGATGTTATTTTCGGGCGATTTGGGAAAAAAAATGTGGTTTAGGATATGGGTTTTCAGTGTTTGATTTTTTTTTAAGGCTTTTTAAAGGTGTTACTATTCATATTACACATATAGTGCTGCTGTAGGCACGAGCGTAGATATAACATGTTAATATAATCCGAGATATAATCATACGTTTCATAATCTACCACCTAAAACGTCCATTATACAACTAGCTGTTGTCTGTTTCGCTTATCGAATAGCGGTTGCCATCATTGGTAAAATAACCAATATTATATTAATTGTGTTTACGGTGCGTTTTTTGATCGCTGTGCAGATAAAACGACATTGAGTGCCACGTCGATAATACAATGAACGAGGGTAATAAACGACACGCTATTATAATAGCCCATAGCTAGTGAATAATAATAGCAGGTTTCTGAAAACAAAAAAAAAAAAAAAAACAATGAATTACGATACTAAACAATATCGTCTGATAACGTGTCCGAGAACCACACTTATACTCTTTCGTTCGGTTCGACAATGCGTGTGGTTCGTTCGCTGCCCGACCATGTCCGACGACGATAGTAATAATACGGGACCGGTGTATCTGAAGCATCGAAATTTCGCCGACGGACGGCAGCAGCCTCAACCGACGAGTGCATCGCATTTGGTCGATTCGGCGTTCAATTCGAAATTCAACAAAGGAAAGAATATCAGTAGTTATGTCGTTTTTTGTATCAAATATTACCACTGTAAAATATTATTAATCATTGTACACGCAGAGCGTACCAGAGTGCGAGGCTGCAGGGTTGCCATTTTTCATTTTGAGAAATCTGGGACACATAAATAATTTACTAGGACCCATCACGCCGTCGGCCCTTATGATAATTATAGTGTTGATAATTGACTGTAATTTGCGATTATACATGATTATACATTTTAAATATTTTTTTTTTTGTATATATTATTGTTAAGTACATGAATTGACACAGTCAATGTTTTCAGTTTGAGTATAAAATAAAATGTCTTCAATAAGACTATAGCCTATAGGTACCTGTATGAATAGAGTCATTCGTTGTTATTTCATAAACACATCTTTATAGATAAAACTTGGTGTTAATACGTTCTGTTAAAGTTAACAATAAATTATTATACTATATACGGCATACGCATGTCCCGATTAAGTCTCTCAGATAAATGGTGTTACCGCCAACATTGATTAATTTGTATGCCGTCGATGATGTAAACTAGGTTAGGTAAATTCCTAACCAATTTCACAAATTCCTAACACTATGCATTATAGTAGACCATATTGGCAATGCATTAACTGACAACATAAGCAATGTTGTAAAAATTAGGTATGTTGTCAACACATTTACAACTATGACTGGGAAATGATCTTAATGTCTAACACTGATCGACAATGTTGATAATTTTGTTCAGCGAAATATTTAAATTTGGTCAGAAATGTAATAATAGACCGCCGGGTCTAGAGACTTGACATTTTATATAGAGGTTCCTTAAGCAATACAGGGGCGCACTAAGAAAGGATTTTTCAAAATTCGACCTCTAAGGGGGTAAAATAGTTTTTTTTATAGTCATATAATACACGGCACGGGCAATGCCGTGATGGGACAGCTAGTATTACATAAATAAAATAAATTGAATAATTTTCAACGAATTGATGTACCTACTGTGACACTTCGAAAACAGACAGGTACTTACTATATGGCCTATAGGTACATATTATATACTAGATATACATGTTAGTATGTTATTAGGTGTGCACAGTCCCCCCACATCACATTTTGGGCTCATGTACTAAATATTTTTGCAGGCCACGTAAAATATTATGTAATATAAGATAAGTATAATTCCTATCAAAATTTTAAAATTTTAAAAATTATAAATTAATTTCAAAGGGCCCAGGTTCAACGCCCTCCCTCCTCTTTTGTGGTGTCCTAGGGAGTGTGTGTGTAAAAATATTATAGCAAATAAATAATCGCGATTTATATTGTATACTTACGTACTATAAATTATAATAGCCTATAGGTATAGATGATAGATGTATCCGATGGACGGCTATCGAGTATCTTTTACTTATAATAATATGTAGGACACTTTGTGTACGTTCATCGACACATTAGAGCCGGAAAGTACATTATTATTGTCAGTAAAGATGTTAGTGTAGATAACTTG